TCACTGCAACCAGTGAAAATACTTTAGCTGCTCTACAACTTTGAGGAAAGTACTACTACCACTATCATCCTGTGCGTCCTGGGACAAGCATTCTAAGTGGATATTCCCTCCTAGGAAATATTTCAGTATTTCTCATTCGGGGTTTATCCCCATTTCACAATTGTCTCATCACCGAATTGGGTGAGCCACCTGTTCAGGGAGAGATAACATCACTTTATCACCCCATTGCTAATGATTAGGATTCTCCTTTCCCATTTATGTTACCATAGGCATGCCTTTCCAAGTTAGTTGATGTATTTCATTCAGGGGTGGGATTCAGTGGTGGGTTGCAGGTGGTACTCCCTGCTATGGGCGTACCGGTACCTGCCCAGAGCACCAGGTACCATTCCAGTACAATGCTGCGGAGGGCCCACCTGCCTGCCTGAGCTCCTTACCTGTATTTGAGTTCTTCAGCGCTTACGCACACATGCACGGAGCGCATGGTTCCTGTGCAACGCTCCGCCAAGCAGCTGGAGTGTCACAGAGGCTCGCAGAGGCATCACAAGATGTAAGGATGCATGCGTGCATTGTACGTGTTCATGTGGGGAGTCCGGGGTACGGTTGCAACAGGATCTGGAACCCACTATTGGTGGGATTCTACCAGTTCAGCCCGATTTGGGCGAACCGGTAGCTCCGACTATCAGCTGCAAGAGAACCCGTTCGCTCTCACTTTCAGCTGGGCCCATCTGCCCCCACCCGCCCTCACCCGCCCACCCTTACACTATACTCATCTATATTTCATTTTCTGAAGCCCAGCTAATAGGCGCAGCAGAGTGGATTGCCACGGAAGGTGATTTCTCTGTAAATTGTGCACGCACGCTCAGCGAACCGGTTGTTAAACCAGTAGAATCCCACCCCTGATTTCACTTCCTTACAAGCTAACCCCAACAGTTCGTTGGCTAATTCACAGGGCAATACAGCTGAAACCCTTCTGTTCCAAATGACTAGGAAAATATTGAAGTGGTACACCACTGAATTCATTTAATACTTTTTATAAAAGGAAAGGGAAAAGTAGGTAGGTCATGGGGAAAATAGTGCTTTTTTTTTTTGGTAAAGGACAATGCTTTTGCCAGGTTTCAAATGAGCAACTTTCTATTTACAGGACAAGTATGAAAGTCATTGTGCTGTTAGGTATTAGAAGATATTAGAAATCCTGTTAACCATTAATTTAAATGCGGTTTATTCCTGCCCTTGTGAAATGTAGCTAATGAACTGCAGGAATTAGCTCTGACAAAGCGAAATGCACCAACCAAAGAAGTCAAGAGCAGCTGAGGCAACATCAGAAGGAAAAGCATGCTTAAAAATGCCAAGAGGTCACATTCACATTGGGAGGCATGTGAGTGAAGAATAAAGTAATTCATTCCAATAGAAGAGAATATATGTAGACCAAGGTTGAACTATGGCCGTGATGGATAACCTATGGTACCCGTGCCAGAAGTGGCACACAGAGCCCTCTCTTCTGGCACATGCGTCGTTGACCCAGGTTAGATTTCCGTGGCATTTCTTTTGTGAGCTTCTGTTTCCCTGCAAACGATGAAACAGAAGCTCATGAAAGAAAAAGGTCTTGTCGGGGCGCTGGTATTGGGATGCCTCACCTCCCGCCGATCAACTAGTCTTTGGGTCTCTGCTGCGCATGCATGCATCTCCCTGCATTCCTGAACATGTTTGTGCATGCATTCACACCTTTTAGTTTGGGCATGCGTGTGTGAGCAGTTTGGGCACTCGGTTTCTAAAAGTTTCGCCATCACTGAACTATGGAGTCCTTCGTGCTCTCTCTGAGCTTGGTTGTTTGCCTGCAGACATTTCATTATCCAACTAGGTATCATTATCAGTTACCAACTGAGGGTGATGATGTGCATTAAAAATGATATCTAGTTGGTAATGAAACACCCAGGTTCAGAGAGCACCAAGCACTCCAACGTAATCTATTTCTACCCTTCAAAAATGGGCTGCTCTGATTATGAAAGAGAAAAGAGACAATACTCTGGAATCATAAAACAATATCATTTTTATGATAATTAAGCTAGCCTTGAGAAAATAGTATGACATCTGGCAAGCCCAATGGACTTTGGCACTGTTAAAGACTTCATAAACTTTACCTGTAGCTTAATCATACATTCTCACAACGAGGGAAAGGTTGGTGAAGATAACAGAATTTGCAGAGATATCAAAATTGACTTGTTCGATTAGGGATAAGATAACAATATATCTGCAAGTGACAGAATCCCCTCCCTTTTTTTGTTGCTGAAAATTGAAAATAAAACAAACTTAGTTTTAATGATTAGAAAGGATAGAGAGTGGAAGGAAGGGATCCGCGATATACTGTTAAGCAGACTGAAAGGATAAAAAAGTCCAACTTTCTGTACAAAGATCCTTCAATAAAAATTAATACTAAGAAAAGGAGCAACAGATACGGTTAATGAGACAAAATCCCTGGGCCGTCTCCTACTGTGAGGCTGCAGACCAGAAAGGAAAGTCCGATCAGACATAACATGTCTTTGTAGATAAAAAGGAACTTGTAGCTATTCAAGATCTATACATGGGATGAAAGTCCTAGGAGGCCCTAAGATTACAAGTGGCAAAAAAAAGCCATATCCTTCTGAGTCAGTTAAGACTGGAATAGCTTAGTAAATAAAAATAAATGAGCAGAATTTGAATGGGTGCGATACAGTGCAGCAGAAGTACAGAAAGACCAATTGCCCTAATTACTCTAAAAGGAATAGTAAAAAGTATATCTCTAGATATAAACAATCATGTGCCTAATGCACACATATGTGGTGGAATTGTACATACTGTAGCATCATCAACAGTGTTATCACCATCTTGTCTACCAGTGGTGGGTCCCGGGCGCTACAACCAGGTACGGCGGTACCAGTAGTAGCCGGGAGCAGCGACCATCATACTGATACGGTGGCTCATTTGGCCCACCCGCCCACCTATGTTTCATAGCTGTTTGTAACAGAACTGACCAAAGGGATGTGCACAGCATGCGGTGTCTGCGTGATCTCCACCAAACAGCTGGGTGTCACAGGGCAATAGAGTAAGCATGCGCGTGCAGTGCATGTGCCCATCTAGGATGCCCAGCCCCATACGCAGCATATTGGTTGCAATGGGGTCCGGAACCCACCGCTGTTGTCTACATATCAGAAAGTATATCTGAACTGGCAACAAAGGTGGCTGTGCTGTGTGCGATTTTGATCATGGGCAAACCACAAATAGGTCACCAGCTTTATTCATACCTTTAGTAGTTTCTCAATTAGTTGCCGCAGTGCAAAGGGGGTTTACAGTATGCATATAGTGGTATGCTTTTTTGTCATTGTTTGCACACATTTTTGTGAATCGATTGATGCAAAATTCAGCAGAAGAGAATTGCAGTCTTTATTAGCTGGTCTGAGGGTGTGCAGCATGACATTTTTTTTAGTAAGGAAAATGGGGAATGACACAAAGTGTGTGGGCCTGCTTTGATATTTCCTATTTCTGAAATCGTGTTTTCTCTTTGTTTCTGAATTTGTATGAAATCTATTTCAGGATTTAAAACAAACTTTTAAAGTATTCCTCATTCAAGAGTTTTTTCAAAATTTCCACTAGGTCAGGGGTGTCAAATGCACATTGTCACGGCAGCATCACATGACATATTGGGACTTTTTTTCCCTTTCACTAAACCAGGCATGGGCGTGGCCAGCATTTGATGGATCTGGTCCGTGGGCTGGGAGTTTGACAGTCCTACTATCGGGGTTCCAAATAGCATCCAAAAGTAAATCAGAGTCCAAGGCAAAATATTGCTCAAAGTTCCAATTTACTAAGAGAGCCATGTTGGCACATCTGGGAAAACCCAAATCTGAAAGTTTCCCAGTTTTCCCCACCGAGTTGAAAGTTGACGTCTTGCCCCCACGCCCACAAGTCCATCACATAGTCCAATCTTCCACTGCCATGTTGGCAGTTGCACCCATCCAGTTGCGATCAGGTGCAGAGTTGCAAAGAGAAAGGATGACCTTGGTTTTTTAGAAAGAATTTTGTTATGGCTACACAGCATCTAACAATCCCCCCCTCCCATTTTCCTACAATAGAAAATGCATAGTAGAATAATAGAAAGTGTGGCAGGCCAAAGATCCAAAAGAAAAGATGGCTGCAGGCCTGACACCTACGCTAGTACAATTTGGAGAGGCCTCTGAATCCACAGAAGGGAGGAGAATGCAGACTTGGGGCCCAAAGTATGACATTTTACAAATAATTATCAATTTAACAAACACCATTTTGAAGAGGAAGAAATTTTACAGCTCCTGCTTGTAGCAATTGTCCATAGGCAGGACTGTGGCAATAGTTAATATTGTTAAATATTTACTAGAGTTTCCTACAAATTGCTTGAAGTCAAGCTTTACAGTATTTGATTATTGAGTTACTTTCGTGAAGGATACATGATTTATATTCTGATAACTGGAAGATTCAAATACTGTTAGAAAGTGGCAACATTTTCGGGTTTACACATTCGCCTTCTTTGGGATTCAGCGTCACTTGAGTATTGATTCAAAAATCTACAAGATTTTTTTGTTAGAAGCAAAGCAGAATTGTTTGCCCATAAGAAGTAATTCTTATTAGTTATTTTCAACATCCTGGAAAACTTATCATCCATCTTTACATGTTTCCTCATACTTTGAATGCGTATTTCTTTTAAAATGATCTGTATCCATTTTGTAGATTTTGGCCATGTTCCAAGAACAAGCACAAAACCTGTCTTTCGCAGTTTTAACAACAGGACAAAAGGGACAATGCAAAGAATGCTGTAAAACAATTCTTATCATATACTTCCACTCATATTGAAAACACGTTCCACTCCTGATAACCAATTAATGTTACCCTTTGACATTTTAATTTCATTTTTCCATTATTCCAGAGACTGAACTAAGTGCATGTACTTTATAAACATGTTTCATTTAAACTTGTGTTTCATTTAAAATCTCCAGGAACCACGGGAGAACTCATCAAAACAGATATCTTTGACATGTATTCTGGAGGTATGTGAATTTGTTAATCTGTTATGTATTAATAGTGGAACTCTGAGAGTTAAGGAAAGTTGAATGTTCAAGAAAATTTTCATAAAGCAAAGAAATTGTTGAGATGGTTAATATTAATTATACTTCTGTAGTTCCTTGTAACTTCTGAATACAGGCTAAAACTCATAAACTGGGTAACCTCCAGGTTGGATTTCTATAGTTATTTTAGTCTATTGTACCTATTTCCATTGTAGTCTATTGTACCTATTTCCATTGTAGTCTATTGCACCTATTTCCATTGTAGTCTATTGTATCTATTTCCATTGTAGTCTATTNGGACCATAAGGAAGGCTGGGCGCCAAAGAATTGAGGCCTTTGAACTATGGTGCTGGAGGAGATTCCTGCGAGCCCCTTGGACTGCAAATTGGTGAGTTCTAGAGGAGATCAACCCTGAACTGCTCTTTAGAAGGCCAGATCCTGAAGAGGAAACTCAAATACTTCGGCCACCTAAGGAGAAGGAAGGACTCATTGAGAAGTGCCTAATGCTGGAAAAGATTGAGGGCAAAAGAAGAAGGGGACGACAGAGAATGAGGTGGCTAGATGGAGTCACCAAAGCAGTAAGCGTGAGCTTAAATGGACTCCAGAGGATGGTAGAGGACAGGAAGGCCTGGAGGAATGTTATCCATGGGGTCACGATGGGTCAGACATGATTTTGCAACTAACAATATGAATCTTGGCAGAGGTTGAACAAGCCATAAACCATGGATTGTTTTAACTATGGACTGTTGAATAGATTGAATGAAAATGAGATGACACATAAAAGGATTAGTAATATTGTTGACATTTAGGCTGCAGAGCAAGGATTAGTTATTACGAATTTACTTGGTAATACACCCAGCTTTCTCAATTCATCTTGTACCTCACCTTCTGTCTTCCTTCTGGCCTAGGCGTGCTAAGAATTGTGGTGGTGCTGTTTACCTTAGTTGCAACCTGGCTTTTTGCCAGCACCTACTTGAAGAACACAAGCATGCATTCAATCAATGCGAAGATGTGGCTGAGTAAGTTATAATAAATGATACTTCTTTCATCTCAGCTCCATTCCATCTTTTTTCCTTCTTCTTTTGCCCACTAGGCTCTTCCAGCTTAACAACATAAAAAAAAAAAGGAAAAGAGTCTCTTTTACTGTTTTCCATCTTTTCCATCTAAACTGTAGTCCTGGAAAGAATGGATTGCATGACATTGTTGGGAGAAATATTCATCTAGTTCAGTTCCAAACTGGGAAAAAGACACTGGAAACATAGAAGCTGATAGGAAAGATGTTTTTTTTAATGAAGCCGAACCACATGGGTTTGTGGCTCTGGGCAGCTGACCACATGGAGTTGAGAGGGAGGGGTTTTTATACCTTCTTTGAGCTTTGTATTTGAGCTTCCTGTTCCTGGGCAAAAACATGTATTCTATTGGCTCTTGTCAGACTCTCATAGGGCCATGTAGGGTTATACAGTGGTCATAGCTGGCTCCATAGGCTGAAGAGGAAATGCAAACCCTAGGTGTTTGTCTGAGCTCCCAAATTTGGTTGAAGTTTGAAATGACTGAAATACCCTTAGTGAGTTCTGTGTCTTCTGTTAAACAGTGGTGGGTTGATCCTATTATGACCTAAAGGATCATATCCTGTTCTTAATCCCATCATCCGGAGCTGAAGGTCTTTTGTTTTGAAGATAGGCTAGCCCAGTCTTTCTTAATGGGCGCAAAATATCTCCTGGGGAGGGGAGGCTATTAAGAAAGACTGAGTCTGCTTTCTGTCTTAAAAAAAAACACCATGTTTTTCCATTAAGAAAATATAATATTCTGCCTTTTTAATATTTCCCAAAGCATTTCATTCTTGGGGAGGGGGGTGCTGACTTTCTACAACATATTAGCTCCCTGTTGGCTATATACAGCTGCCCCTTCCCTGTTTAATCTGTTCATTAACGTCATGATTGAATCCATGAACAACTCTGACAACAACGCCCTCAAATTAGCAGGCTGCAAGATCACAAAATCAATATACTCAGATGATGCAGTCCTTGTTTCTTCTTCTTCCTAGAGTTCCAAAAGACCATGAAAAGGTACAGGTGGGATACAAGTATTTTGCACCTGCCTCAGGAGGGTCCTGATTTAAATCAGATTTTTTTATCTGATTTAACTTCTTTAGAGGAAGTGAGCTGCAGCTCACAAATATGTGTAGCTTTTGAGAAAAAGTGTTAGTCAGAAAAGGGCTACTGGACTCAAGATCACGTGAAGTGTTAATACCACTTTATAATCCCTTGGTAAAGCTACACTTGGAATATTGCATTTAGTTTTGGTCACTACGATGTAGAAAAGATGTGGAGACTCTAGAAAGAGTGCAGAGAAGAGCAACAAAGATGATTAGGGGACTGGAGACTAAAACATATGAAGAACGGTTGCAGGAACTGGGTATGTCTAGTTTAATAGAAAGAAGGACCAGGGGAGACATGATATCAATAGCAATAGCAGTTAGACTTATATACCGCTTCATAGGGCTTTCAGCCCTCTCTAAGCGGTTTACAGAGTCAGCATATTGCCCCCAACAACAATCCAGGTCCTCATTTCACCCACCTCAGAAGGATGGAAGGCTGAGTCAACCCTGAGCCGGTGAGATTTGAACCGCCGAACTGCAGAACTGCAGTCAGCTGAAGTAGCCTGCAGTGCTGCATTTAACCACTGCGCCACCTCGGCTCTTATAGCAGTGTTCCAATATCTCAAAGAAGAGGGAATCAAGCTATTCTCCAAGGTACTTGAGGGTAGAACAAGAAGCAATGGGTGGAAACTAATCAAGGAGAGAAGCAACTTAGAACTAAGAGAAATTTCCTGACAGTTAGAACAATTAATCAGTGGAACAGCTTGCCTCCAGAAGTTGTGAATGCCCCAACACTGGAAGTCTTTAAGAAGATGTTGGATAGCCATTTGTCTGAAACGGTATAGGGTTTCCTGTCTAGGCAGGGGGTTGGACTAGAAGACCTCCAAGGTCCCTTCCAACTCTGCTATTGTATTGACGCCTGTTGTTTTTTTTCTCACCATAAGGTAAAGCAGTTCTTCTCCTACAATTTCCCCAGGCACATGTTCTTATAGTGCAAGAGCAGGAAAAGATCAAGTCTTCCTTCTATATTTAAGATGTGACTGAGATTGAGCATTCCTCTGGGAAAAAATAGGAAGGGTTGACTTTTCTCTCTACTCTAGAAAAAGACTCCCTTTCTGCAGAAGAAGATTATAGTAATAGCTTCCACCACAGCAGAGGAAGATAGAGTAGAAGGTGATTGAAAATAAGGGTCAACATGAGAACAGTTTCATTCACTGAAACATTTGTCCCTGAAATTATTTGTCTTGATGGGGGCATGTGTGGACCTTAAGACCAGATGCCGTTTCTGGCTTCCGCTAGAGCATAGTACAGAGATAATGTTTCAGATTCATAATACTCTTGTTCCTTCCTGTTTTCCTGCTTCATATTGTTCTATACTGATTAAACTCAATCAATCATCTGAACTTCCACCTGAAAGGCAAATATTTGCTTGTGTTAGCCCCCAGGAGTCTTTGGATTGTGGCCAGGTAGAAATGTGAGTTAATGAATGTTCTGTATGCTCATATCATCTCAGGGCTAAAGGTTATGAGAGATATAAGCTCTTTTTTACATGCAAACTCAATCCTCCACTTTCTAATCTCCATCCATTTACACCCTTGCAAGTCAAGGAGAAACATCTAATGGAGATTCCACTTGTGAATATCTGTAGAATTTTCACCAAATTGAGAAGTTTCTTTTAATAACTTTCTCTAGTACTGTTAGATATTCCCCTCCCCCACTGACAAGGTCCTCTGTTCCGGTGGGAACAGAGATTTAATCCCATTGGTCAAAGGGTCTGACAGATCCCTTTAAAAGGGACTGCTGTCCGACCCTTCCTCAGCCCGATGTTTATCTGACTTGCAATAAAGAGCTGTTGTTACTGAAGCCTTTGTGTGCCTTCCTTTACCCGATCTAACACTGGCGATGAGGGTGGGATCAGAAGGCAACTAGGGGGACAAAAAGAGCAAAAGTGATCCTGCAAGTACATCCAGCCCGGAGCATCCTGTGCGGCATCGAGCAAGCCATCGCTGAACGATGAAATCGAAGCAGGATGGCTATGCACGCCCCACCAACTCCATATGATCCAGCCACCGAGCACTGGGAATCGTACATGTTATGATTCGAGCGTTTCCTCGAGACAAACGATCTCACGAGTGTTCCAGAAGCCCGTTCAAAACGGCTGAAAACCTCTCGGAATCGACCCCACTCCAAGCGGTATCCTGGTCTGCACTACAACAGATGCTGAAGACCCACTACGCACCCAAGCTGCCCAAGCCGTCCAAGTACATTCGCCGGCACGAATTTAACATCCGAAACCAGATGGAGGGCGAAACAATCAACGAGTATGTGGCTGCACTCCGGAAAGCTGCAGCATACTGTGAGTTCCGAGACCTGGATGAACTGATTCTGGACCGCATAATTTGTGGCGTGCAAGACATTACCTTACAGAGGAGGCTACTCGCTAAATCTAACCTCTCACTGCAGTTCTCACTAGACAAGGCTAGGGCATCCGAATCAGCTGCTAAATCAACAGAGACCCTACAGCGCCAGAGCACACCTCAAGATGCGTGGAAAAGTACCTGCGTACGACTGAGCCCAAGGGCTCTGAAAGCGAGAAGGACAACAGCTACCTCATACACAGTAGCCGCACCAAGCCAGCACAAAAATTCAATTCACAATTTCTGCCCTGTGCCAACTGTGGGGGAGACCATGCCCGACTGTCCTGCCATTTTTGTGATGCAACTTGCCAGTGGTGCGAGCAGATGGGGCACATCACCAAGGTGTGCTGCAGTGATTTCCCTACCGCCAGCAGACAGCCCAAAAATACACATAGCCATCAACAGAGGCCCAAACCAGGGGCCTGGCAGAAGAACCCACGGCAGTCTGAAGGCAACAACAGAATCACCAATTATACATCTGTTAGACAAATCCGTTCCGGGCGCTCCAAAAAGCTGAAAGTCACTGTCCTCATCGAGGACTCTCCATGCGACACCGGGTCAACACTGACCCTAAGACCGTGGTCAGTCCTCAAGCAAGCGATCCTGAAGTTACAGAAGCAGCACCTCCGAAACCCTGACATCTGCCTGCCCGATTACCAGGGAAACCAGGTCCCCATCATGGGGCAAGGCACCTTCCAGGTTAACTACAAACACTTCTGCGAAAACCTCCTCATGACAATGGTCAGCGGCAACCTTCAGAGCCTCCTGGGGCTAGATTGGTTCCAAGCTTTGGGGATGGAAGTGACCGGAATCAACTTCGTGCGGGATGACAGCGCTGAAGCCATCTTTAAGGAGTTCGAGGAAGTTTCAGCACCGGTCTGGGTAAGTACGAGGGAACCCAAATTTCCTTTAGCTTGGACCCCACTATAGCCCCAATTAGGCTAAAACCCAGGAGAGTACCTTTCACTCTCCGTCCTAAAATTGACAAAGAAATTGAAAAGCTTGTGAGCCAGGGCATCCTAGAGCCACTCGATCACGCATGCTGGGAGAACCTATTGTGACACCTGTTAAATCTGACGGGTCTGTCTGCATCTGCGTGGACTATAAGTGCACAATTAATAAAGCGTTACAACAAAGCACCTACCCTGTACCCATTGTACAGCACCTACTACATTCGCTCGGCCCAGGAAAACTTTTTGCAAAATTGGATATGGTGCAGGCATACCAACAATTGCCAGTAAGATGGCACTACAGCGGAGGCCGAAACCATTGTGATGCGCAGGGGTGCATTCAAATGCCACTGCCTGCAATTCGGAGTTAGTATCACTCCTGGACTGTTCCAAAGTATCATGGAACGACTTTTGCAGGTGATTCCAGGAGTCATCCCCTATTTCGACGACAGTTTTGCATACGAACAGTTTTGGCCAGAATTAGAGACAAGGGTCTCTGCCTCAAAAAAGAAAAATGTCAGACTAATGTACCAAAGGTTGAATTCCTAGGGTATCTGATCGATGGGTATGGAATCCACCTGACCTCACAAAAAATTAAAGCTATTCAGGATGCCCCCACACCTCGCAATCAGACCGAGCTGCGGGCATTCCTCGGGCTCCTTAATTTCTACAGCATCTTTCTCAAACAGAAAGCCAACATTGCTGAACCATTACATCGCCTCCTAGCCAAGAATGTGAAATGGTCCGAGACCAACGCATTTGCCGCAGTAAAATGACTCTTGTCAGTGGATTCTTTCCTAGTACAATGCAGCCAGACCCTGCCATTGGTGTTGACCTGTGACGCTTCCCCTTTTGGTGTCGGCGCTGTCCTCAGCCACCGCATGCCTAATGGCACCAAGGCCCCTATTACATTTTACTCCAGGACATTGTCCGCCGCAGAGCAGAACCACAGCCAATTGGACCACGAGGCTTTGGCTGCAGTGGCCGGAGTAAAAAGATTCCATGAATATCTCTATGGCTGGGATTTTGAACTGGTTATGCACCACAAGCCATTGTTGGGCTTACTGGCTGGGAATCGCCCCACTCCAGTAACATTATCCCCCCGCATGACCAGATGGACTATTTTCCTGGATGCCTACTCCTACTGCCTCATTCACCTGACCCGGCTCCACTTTAGGGCACGTGGATGCCTTGAGCCGTGGCCCATTGCCTGAATTTCTCGTCGACTCCATCCCCGAGATGCTGGTCCTTCTCATTGACTGCCTGAAAACCGGACCCGTCTCATCTATTGCTGTTGCACGCCACTCTGCAAAGGACTCCACAATAAAGCAAATTTTGAACTGGGTGTGGAGGGGGTGGCCCAAGGGGCCTTATGGGGCTTCAAAATCTCAAAATGTATTTTGCCAAACGCAATGAACTGTCAGTTATTAACGGGTGTTTGCTGTGGGGGGACAGAGTAGTTATTCCCACCAAACTGCGCATTGCAGTACTAGAAGCACTACATGTAGGGCATCCTGGGATTGTCAGGATGTAGTCTCTGGCAAGGAGTTACGTATGTTTGTTTGTTTGTTTGTTTATTGTTTATTTGTATGCCGCCCTTTTCCCTGGGGGGACTCAGGGCGGCTCACAATCCAAAGGAGGGGGGGGAAAACAGACTTTTACATATAAGACAGTACATGATTAAAACGCAACATTCATACCATTCGGGCAGGTTACAATCTTTAGCCCCAGGCCTGACGGGATAGCCAGATTCTAAGGGCTGTGCGGAAGGTCTGGAGGGTGGTGAGGGTACGAATCTCCATGGGGAGATCATTCCATTGGGACGGGGCTACCACCGAGAAGGCTCTCCTCCGCGTGGTTGCCAGTCGGCATTGACCAGCGGATGGAACTCGGAGAAGGCCTAATCGATG